CTAGGGAGGTAATAGGTCCTCATGAAAGTTTAGTATCGCAACAACAAATTCGACCAAAATTGAGGTATTTTTTAGACCCTTATCCCTTTACTATTCACGGTTTCTAAACATATTGTTAAAAATTTAAAATACAACCATTAAAAAATATAAAGTAAAACATATTCTTGTTGTCTTGAGCTAAAAAGCTTCCCCCAAATCATTTCCTCCACCAGAATGATCCATCAGAACATAAGAGCTAAACTACTTAATCAGACCAAAATAATTTATACATATTCCATAGATTTCTTATGATAAATATAAAATTTGAACAAAAATTACTGTTTAATCGAACTCGTAATCTATATTCTAGCTCTACCCCCTGCTAGGAAGGAGGATAAAGGATTGTCAATCATTACAAATGACAAAAAGGAACTTTTATTGGAATCAAGAACCAAACTTTGCAACATGACTTATAGAGTGTAACCAAAACAATCAAAGGAAATTTTTATTTGTTGGACAATATCCTCAACAATAACAACAACAGAATAATCAGTGAAATTTCACTAAGTGTAATCTGGGAAGGGTACAGTGTACGCAGACCTTCTCACTATCTCTCCAGAGTAGAGACAGGGTTTCCAAAAGACCGTCGGCTCAATTTCCTCATGAAGAAAATACATGCTAGTTGTTATGATTCTGGTCTGACTCAATCCCTTTACCATTTTGTAGGGGAGTGACAGATGTGTTCATCAAATCAAAACCCAGTTTTTGCTTTGTGATTTCATCAAGAACCTCAATCATTTCCTCTGAAAGATGGTTCTTGGAATCACCAACTTTACCTTGCCTGAAAAATATGTTGTTAGTAATAGTAGGAATGAAAAATCCAATGTGTGACCCCTCTTTATTCACCTCCAAATTACTCAGTTTCTCAAAACTGCATAGCTCTGTTATTCTCTCCACAATGCCTTCACTTTGTTCCTCCAATGAAAAAGGCTGCTCCAAAAACTCTGCTAATTTCTTTGCATTAAAGATTGGATCTTTCTTCAATTCTTCATACTTCAAGAAACAAACTTTCTTTGGAAATTCTAAACTGGCTTTATAATATCCCATTACATGATCCCAAAATGGACCAAAAGGGGAATACCCTTTAGTGAATTGATCAAATGCTTCAGGTAGAGAAATGAAAGGAAGTTCCTTAGGTCTTAATTTCTGTATAAAATGCCAGCAAGAAGCTAACACATCTTTCGGGTCGCGAAAGACGTATACTATCTTGCAGTTAGCCAACTCTGGTAAACAATTGAAAGCAAGATGTGAATGCATTAGACAAGTGTTTGGTGTTGGATTTGTTGGGTGCTTAAATGCATAAGCCTCTAACTGTGGTACTAACTCATGTGGATTAGAAGAGAGCAAAGGGTGTGTGTTGAAATCTAATTCAGCTCTGTTTTTAATAGCAAAAAGAAGGGCTTTAAGCCATGTAGTGCCAGATTTTGGGTAACTGGCTAGTAAGACAGTGTTTGGTTTAGGCTTGAAATGTTGCTGCTGAAGTGCTAGCAGACCTTGAAGAATTCCTGTGGGATACCAAAAGCCTTTGTATTGATGAATATGTTCACTCAGCCAACCTCTTTCTTTTGGTAGCTCAGATAGTATTATGTCGGGGGATTTTTGTTGAATTTTGTGGCTTTGTTCTTTGGTAACACCAGTTGGGAGTAAGGGGGTAGAGAATAAACTTTCCATTATTAAGTTTAATGGAGCAAAGAATCTGGCTAGACTAGAACAGGAAAGACAACAGCAATAGGCTGTTCGGCCAAATATAATATCATATATTATACACTAAACTGGTCAGTGTTCTCCAACTATTAGTAATGTAAGGATTAATTATAACATAATCTATGCATTATTTTATGCAAAAAATATTTATTTATGTATTAGTTATTTCATCTTTTATCTTGCATAAATAATACATAATTCCCCTCGTAATGTTAGTTATGTGAGTTTCTAAATAGTAAATCACACACAATATTAATTGAGTAAATTTTAGAAATAACAAACATAATAAGGCTCTATAACTATAGTTTTGATAATTGCGTTCCATAAGACCATAACTATAGTTTCGTTTGCTATGGAGGCCCTGATTTTTATATTTCACGCGGTTTGTATATTTCGCTTGCCCGTTTGTATATTTCGTTTGCGAATATACAAATACGGTAAGTATATATACATTATGTATTTATAGTTTTATACATTTATGAATTTTTCAGAACTGTATTTGTATATTTCATTTGTCAATATAGAAACAGGGTAATTTATTGTGAATTTTTCATAAATCGTATACAAATAGCTAGGGTAAGCATATACAAATTAGGGATTTATACAATCAGGAATCAAATTATACAAAATTTCGATCAAGCGAATTACACAATTTTGGGCGAATTATACAAATTAAACAAATAGCAAGATTTAAGAAGACTATGACTACGAATCACAATTTTCCAAAATAGTAGTTATATCATTTATATATTTGCTATTCTGCACAATTTTTTCTTAATTTTATACATGAATAATTTGTCTTCTATTTAGGTACCAAATATGACATTAGCACACGAAGATTTTACTCATTGGTGTCAATTGGTGGGTCTATGGATTTTTGTTGCTCTCTGTAAAATTTCTAGCATGATAGATTTTATGTTACGTCAATTCATGCTTGCTCAATCTACCTAACGCCCTCTAATAATATATGATTTGCAGACGTACTCTCTTAACACGTGATGTACTACGACAGTACTAGTGGCGCGGACCTATGTTATGTATTATGGCTGCTCCACTGCCTTGTTATGTATTATGATTTATGGGGGATCCATTGCTTTTTGCGACAAACATTATGCATCAATTTCTGAGCTAAAAATAGTTGAGCATCCATAATACACCGACAATAATTACTATAACAATTATTTTCATACTTTAGATTCAGATTGGTTGTCCATTATTTTAATCAATGAATATCATATTCTTATTTAAAAAACGACAAGTTGATTCATACCAATCAATTTGTCTTGCAACATTATTGGAATGTGCCATATGACCAAACTACTAAAGAAAGTAGATCAAACAACACCACAATTTCATTTCCCACTAAAAGAGCGTTTTGGGTTTGTATTGGCATGAATGGATATACATATGAATCAAGGACCGTAAATATATTGTTCAAAAACCTCAATACATACTGAAACAACGCATCAATGGCAATTTCTTGCAATGAAGTAGCAAAGGCGAAAAAACATAATAGTCATCAGTATAAATCACTTACATATGTTGCAGTAGTTATATGTTACAGCAACTAAAAATAATTGGATCCGCGTACAGAACAACAAAAAAGCAAAGACAAATATCTAACCTCAAAGGAACAAGATTATTACAAAAATTGCTAGAAAAATTTGTTCTATCAT